TCCTGGCCACTTGGTCAGGAAATCCTGTCCAGCGGACTCTCCCTTACCCTCCTTGAGAGCTCCGCTGTCCCTTAGCTGCCAATCAACTCTCCCTGAGCGACTCAGAAGCCCCCTTTATCCGTTCTGGGACCAGAGTCAGAATAGGTCCGACTGTTCGGTCGCCATCTTCCTGTAGCCGTCTCTTATCTGTCTTTTATTTTTTAAATATATTGTTACGCCCAGACTTCGTGATCCCCAAGGACCACCAGGGAGCCGAGTCCGATGCAATAAACAAAAGAGCCTGTACCATGCTAGCATGGGCCCCCACTCATGCCGGCAGCATGGCGGAAGAGAGCGAGCTTCTTCCAGTCCAGGGGTTTTACTCAGGTCGATGGTGATGTCACTGCCTCGGCTAATCCTGATTGGTTGGGTGAGGGCTAGGGATAACTCCGCCCTGCGGGGTGGAGTCGGGAGCTCATCCCCACCCCGCCCTGCCGTCTCATTCCCCCCTTGTCTAATGTGCCTAGTCAAATCATTGACTCAGCCTACTTCCTTTCAGCATAAATAACAAATACAGTTACCAAGACCCTTAGTACCACAGTTCCCATCAGTATTGTCTTCACTAAGTCCAGTTCCTCTTCTGCAGGCATCAGTTCTCCTCTTGGCCTGTAGTTGCCAGGATCCAGGCTATGCAGGAACTGGGAGTCATGTATTCAGGTCTGGGTGCCATCTACTTCAACAGCAGTGGGCATGCTCAGGATAACAGTGCAGCATTCCTTTGAGTCCTTGGGCAGCGAATTTCTTCACCCACATTGAGTTCCAGGGCTACAGGGTCTGCGGTGGGAACTGGCAGTGCATCTGGAACAAGCAAACTGCAGAACCTGTAAGGACTTGAGCAAGGGAATGGTTACCATACATGATCCCCTCCCAAAAAGGGGAAACTTGTCCTAGTAAGGGATACACCTGGCCCTCACGAGGGCAAAGGACAGGGGGTTGGTCCAATTTTCACCGATTTTAGGACACATTTAATTAAATCCCTTTTTCTAGAGTCTCACTTTTCCTGTCTTAAGGCTAGAGCTATACTCTGAGATACCTTAGCTACCAAGGTGGGGCTGTTATCAGATACTGGCAGCCCAAATCTATAATCTCTTGGAGTAATCTTGTGACTACTATAGAGGCAGTTTCTGTCTTAGTGGAGTATACTTCAACCTAATCTGAAGTGTCTACAAAAACTAGACCTTAATGCTGGTGGTTTAATCTTCGAAATCCACCTACCAATGCTCTCCTGGGGAAGTTCCCTGGACCCGAATTCCCAGGGGGACCCCCTTACCTTGCTTAACATTTACCTGTGTACAGACAATACTTCTAGCAACTCTGCCTCACAGAAGTTCAGAAGTTTTGGTGACACTTAACCTGGTGTCACCGGGCAACTTGACCTAGAGCCTCTGGGACCAACAGTCTTGTCATCTGGAGGGTCCATCAACCATCTGGTCCTTCAGTGGCTTGCTTCTGTTCAGCCGATTCCTTCCGGCTGCAGTTGGTAACCCTCTTTTCTCTGTGGATGGCACAGTGTCTTCATCAAAGGGCCCGGATTAAGGCCAAAAGTTCTGGAACTGTGCCCAAATGGTGTGGTCCAGAGTGACTACCACTGCCCCTGCATATCAGGTCCCATTCTGAACATAACTGCTCCCATCCGTGAACAGTACCTTGTCGTCTGTTACCTCTGTGCAGTCATGAATGGGTTCCTCCATCATCATCTGGAAGCAGGCTGGCACGGTTGATGGCCAGAGTCTTATGAATCCGGACACAGGGCTGGTCCAGGAGAAAAGCCTGACCCATCCAGGTTAGCTCCTGGTCTAGAGTCCACTTATCTGCCTCCTTCACCAGCAATGCTGTGGTGGCCACTGCCTGGAAGCACGCTGGCCACCCCGCTGCCACAGGGTCCAGTCTCTTAGACAGATAGGCAACAGGTCTCTTCCAGGGACCTAGAGTCTGAGTGAGAACCTCTTTGGCAAAGCCTCTTACCTCACTCACATAGAGGTAGAAAGGCTTCGCGATGTCTGGCAAGGGTAGGGCAGCTGCTGAGATAAGAGCCTCCTTTAGCTCCTCAAAGGTCCATTGTCCAGTTCAGCAGCTGCGTTCCTTCTGTACATGTTTCTTCTGAGGTCCATAGACCTTCTTCGATGTCCAAGGATGCTCCCTGCTTTCTACAATAAACATACTAATTCCTTCCTATTAGTTGTTGGCCTTTTAATTTCAAATCAATTTCTAAACTTTCTTTCTATATAACTATGCCTCAAATTTTAAAGAAAAGGCAAAGGAGGAGGGAGCAGGTCCAGTACTCTGTTCCCAGGCCTCCAGCGGCTTGAAATTTAAAATGCCACATTTTTCCTACCAATATAGATCTATCTGCATTTCTAAGCCTCTTCTACTCCCCCCGCAGAACATCGGTGAAAATTGTCCAAGCAGTCGCAGGGGGTTAAATCATACAAATAATTGTTTTAACACAATTCTAAATAAATTATAAACCTTTGTGATGAAGTCTACTTAAAACTACACACATGACTGAAACCAAAAATGATTCCCAAAGTTTAAACAAAATACAAGATGCAGGTACATCCCAAATTCAAACTTACAATGCAAAGCAAAACAAAACAGATCAAATATAAAAGTTTCATAAGTTACATTAAACATGACTTCAGAAAAACTGATTTAAAAAATACTGCATCACTGACTTAAAAGAATTTTTTAAGTTTAAGCATTACATACTTTTTCATCTGACAAATGAAAATAAATCAATCCTTGAGATATTTGATCATTACTGCTTATTCTTAACACATAATACAGTTTAGCCAGTCATATTCTAGGCATCTAGTTACTGCAATTAACTTTTCCTAATTCAATTTATACTTTGGACTTTTAAAGCTGGCAAGTCAAATATATTTGGCATTTTTTTTAGATTAATAACATTACATTTCTAATACATCCTGCTTAGCTGATACCAATGACAAGGAAGCTAAACATTGTATGCAAGGCCATCTAGGCAGCTTCACCACGTTATCATTTGCTCCACCCTGCAGATCACTGGAATTCAAATGCAAATGAACACATTCTTTAGCTAAAGACTCCCGGCCATGGCCATTACCATCTAGTTTCCACCTCAAGGTGGGAAATTGCAAAAGCTGGTACAATGACTTGGGAAACCAGTTTCAATTTATCTCCCAGTTATCTCCACCATTTTTAAAACTTATTCTGTACCCAGAAAAGTGTTTTTAAGCACAGCCCAAAACTATGCGCACTCGTTTTGAACTGGCCTTTTTTCTTTACTGAGCACAGAGATTCGCCCTTGAGCTCTTCTTCCATAGGATGTTGCCACAGACCTGAGGCCTCCACGCCAGCCCAGACCCCCAGGGCCCAGGCCCCCAGAGCGAGGCTGCTTTGGCAGTCCCAGCCACGCTACTCAGGCGCCCCCAAGGAGAAAGCGCGGGTCGCCCCAGCGGCTTCCCGGCTCCGCCTCCCCTTCTCCAGGCAGCCAGCAAATTAACCCAGGTGCCTGCTCCCCGAGCGAGGCCACCACTGCCCAGCCGCGCTCCACCGCACAGACTGAGCCCCGCGGGAGCCCCCCCTCCGGCCCAATGCCGCCAGGGGGCCCCGCACCGCCACGCCGGCCACACTTCGCCGGCTCCATCCTGGGGCGCCATGTCGCCCACAGATACCAAACTCAGACCTGGGAAAGGCTCACTTTCCGCAGGTGAGGCAACGGCTCACGCCGCTCACCTCGTCCTGGAGAGGATTCATTCCTCTCCCCATGAGGGTCCCTCTAGGGCCCTCCAGGGAGGTCAGAACGTCTTCTGATCCTCCTGCCCGTGGCCTTCATGGTGCGTCCACCAGGCGTTTTCGGGCACCAATTCCATGAGGGGTTTTACGTCCCTCCAGAGCGCGCACACACCTACCGCGGCCAGTCAGACTCTCCGGATCGGGTTCCTCATGGCCCTAGGGATCCCGGACGAGCCCCCATATGTTACGCCCAGACTTCGTGATCCCCAAGGACCACCAGGGAGCCGAGTCCGATGCAATAAACAAAAGAGCCTGTACCATGCTAGCATGGGCCCCCACTCATGCCGGCAGCATGGCGGAAGAGAGCGAGCTTCTTCCAGTCCAGGGGTTTTACTCAGGTCGATGGTGATGTCACTGCCTCGGCTAATCCTGATTGGTTGGGTGAGGGCTAGGGATAACTCCGCCCTGCGGGGTGGAGTCGGGAGCTCATCCCCACCCCGCCCTGCCGTCTCAATATTTTATTGATTTTTTTTACAGAGAGGAAGAGAGAGTGATAGTTAGAAACATCTATGAGAGAGAATCATCGATCAGCTGCTCTTGCACACCCCCCACTGGGGATGTGCCCACAACCAAGGTACATGCCCCTGGCCAGAATCAAACCCAGGACCTTTCAGTCCACAGGCCTATGCTCTATCCACCGAGTCAAACCGGCTTCGGCTGCCCCCATTTTTTAGATTTAAAATTAAAAGCTCCAGTTTAAATTCAGGTCTCTGATTTTCTAATAAATATCTGAAGGTATCTTTTATGAGACATGAAAAGTAAGTTCAGAATTAAGTGTAAGCACTACTTTTTCTGGAACCCTTTTTATGTACTTGAGAAAAATAAAGTACACAACAGCAAACCTCTTAAAGACGACCATTATCTTCTGAGCAGCACATGTAATTAGATAGCCATTTAGAAATTCTGTTGCTTATTCTCTTCCTGCATTTGTAAGTCATGGATGTATCTCTTTGTAATTATTTTGTCATAGAGAGGAATTTTCTACTAATAATTCCAGAAGGTTATGCTTTTAGTGGATTTGCTTTTAAATTCATGTTTAATTATTGCCAATGTTTATATTATGGAAGGTAGCTATGCTCACCCCTATACCACCAACACGACAGTCAATGTTTATATTATGGATAGTTTGCTATTAAAGGTGTATAAAGCATCTAATTTTTATGCATATATTACTTTATCCACAGTTTTTGGCTGAGGATTACTCACTGGTGGATGTTCTCTACTATGTTACACGTGATGACTTAAAATGCCTGAAACTAAGGTATCACTTTTCTTCCTATTCAATTGTCATGATGGCAAGAGTCCTGGGCTTGAGATCAGGAAGTCTGGGTCCCTGCAATCCTGGGCCCACCTCTCTGGTTCTCAGTTGCTCTGAGTAAACTGAGTTGGTTGGACCAGACTATTATTGAGAACCTTTGTAACCAATATTTCCTATTAGTAAATGCAAATCAACTGGAAGAATATTTTTGATGATAATTCAGACAAAGACCATGCAGGTATTCTAAAGCTGCCTTAAACAAATCCCCCAATTTTGTTCATGATCGTACCATACTTGGAAATATTAGGATGGGGTGCTGATTTGCCATCTAAATACCTGGTATAATCTGATACAGTTTCCTATAATAATTTTTTGTAATCTGGCCAATCATATGTATAATTTTCTCATACCAGCCCATCTTTGTCTACCAAAGACATTTCAGAAATGCTGAAAACCTTTTTGCTTTGGGACCTTGTAGATGGTGGGAGTGGAAAGGGAAGGCTTGAAGGGATGGTGAGAAAATAGGTACAAAAAGAACACATAATGGCTAATAAGACTTTGGGATCTTCATGTTCTGATCAGAGCAGTTTGAAAGCTGAGCAGTCACTTTTCTTTCACAAGGTCAGTGTTGGAATGAAGTGTTCCCTTCCCCGTGTTCTTGTGTCTTTAAACAGGGGAGGGATGCTCTGCACATTGTGGAAGGCCATCACTGACTTTCGGAACCAGCAGAGAGACAAACAGACTTGACTGTCACTCCTTTGTTTCCAACCTCCCTGGAGATCCTAGCAATTAACACAGAACTGGTTGTGGAAGGAGGGGGAATCCCAGGGAGAGGAGAAAGAAGCTGCACTTTAAAGCCAGTATTTGTTTACTCGTGTTAAAAATAATAATAATAAGCAAAATACACTGAAATTTCCTAAATGCTTCTATTTCTATAATTCATAAGGACTTTTTGTAAAAACTCTCACTAGGATGTTTAGGGTTATTTTACTCTAAACATTTTCATGGAAATATTTTGAACTCAGCAGCTACTGACGCGACTTCAGCCAAATGTTTATTTCACACAAAATGGATGTAACATTTCATGTGATTGTGCATCACTGGAACAAAACCAAAATGTGACCACAACTTTTTAGGTTTATGTGTGTTTGTAATAAGCTCTGATAATCTGAGTAGAAATGCATAATTTCAATTGTTGCATAAAGTTTATGTTGTTTTTTTTTAAATATGCAGAATCTGAGCAATGGTTTATACTTATCTGTGTTAATTGTAATATTGATACATTTTGTAACTTAAGTTTCTGGCCTATAGTACATTGGTTTGAGTCATTTTTGTTACTACTGAACTGTACCAGTTGCACATGCCTGAATCATAGTAAAGTTAGCTTGTTCTAAAGCTATCCATTGTCTCATATTTACTTTAAAAAGTAAAAAGAAAAAATGGTCTATCAACATAATGTTTTGATAAACTCAAAATAATTCTCATTTTGTTTAGCCAAACTACTGGATTACATTTTCAGTTGTTTCTTCAGCTATAACATTAAATAGAATCTGTCTTTTATTCAAGTAATCGAAGAAAGCCTATATTCAAGTTTTTCCTCATGGCCACAGACTGGTTAAGAAAGACTGAAAAGAAAAAAAGAAAATAAAAGAAAGTCACTGTATTTTTCTCAAATCCCTGAGTTATCTTGAATGACTATTATGTATCTCAAGGGTTCTACAAACAGCATCTCAGTGGAGAACACTGCCTTTTCTATCTCCTTAATTTCTCATATTGAGGGAAATACTTTATTTTAAGGTGAATATTATATTTCATAAGCTTGACTGTATTAAAAGGATGAAGTCTGAAGTTCTTCTATGGATCAATGAGATAAACAAATTTTTTGAATACAGAGGAAACTGTTTAGTCTGCAAGACAAAAATATACAGAGCTGTTCACTTGGCCCATATGTAAAAGTCTTTGATAAAACAGGAGTCATCTTCATTTCTTTTTCTTTTCTTTTGTGTTTTTTTTTTTTTTTCCCTCCTACAAAAAGCTTTGTTGTTTCATTTGGTTCAATGCATGGGAGAGGGCTCCGGGGTGGTTAAAAGAATGGCTAGTAGTTTCAGGGAGAGGCTCAGGTAAAAGCCAGACACCAGGAGAATGCAGAGGAGCCTCTCAAAGGCCTCTGGGCTCCAGGCTCCTAAGTCATGCTTGAGGGTGAGCCAGCCTGGGGATGTTAGTCAGGGGAAGCCCATTTTCTTGATGAGTCTCACCTCCTCATCCATGAAGTGGTTCTCAAGGAAGCCACAGAGGTGAGAGTCTGCGGGCAGAACCCAGGGCCTGGTTCAGGCTCCTCTCCAAGGCCAGGGCAGCTCCCGTGCATCCTGAGTTTTGCCCATTCACCTTGGGGAGGCTTCAGCACATTCCGGAAGAGAATGTGGCCATCGTGCTGGTTTGCAACTTTAAGAGATGCTCAGAGCCCTTGGCTTTGGGCTGTTATGCCCAAGTGTCATAAACCCCAAAGACTACCAGGGAGCCGAATCCGATGCAATTGCAGAGAGTCTGTATTTATTTCGGACTAGTCCGAGCCCAGTCTCACCTACACCAACGAGGGCATGGGCGAGAAAGAGAAAGAACTTAACATATCAATGGGTTTTATAGGGAGGGTGGTGCTGCTACCTTGGCTGACCTGATTGGTTGGGTTAGGCCTAGGGTCCAGTTACCTGGAGCTGGACCCGCCCCCACCTGCCCTCTCACCCCACCTGCCCTCTCGGCCCCTCCTGCCCCCTCACCCCGCCCTGCCCTCTCAGCTTCTTCTCCGCCAACTCGTGGAAGAAGTGGCCCACGGCCTCGAGAGCCACATCGTTGGTGGAAATAGAAGCCCAGAGAGAGGCAGGTGTGGGACCCACAGATGCACAGGTGGTAAAGTCAACGAGGGGGCAGGGCCAGGTGAGCAGCAGTTGACGGCAGCCTCCATTTCAGTGGAATAATTCTGACGAATTTGGGAGCTCGTGGTTATTCGGCAATAAAGAGTTAAGGTAGAAAAAACAAAACAAAATAAAACAGTGTGTTGGCTGGTCTCTGAGGTGGTTCTGAAGGTGGTGACTGGGTAAGACGCAGGAGAGTGATCAGAGGCTGGAAGAAGGGGCGTCCCTGGGTCTGTTCTATCCAAACACTATTGAAGCAAGAGACAGATCTGGGACTGCTGAGGGCACTGCCGAGTCATCTTTATTTCTATGTGAAAATCCAGGTACAATATATTTTTTATTTTTATTTTTTAAACTTTATTTTTATTGTTGACATTATTATAGATATTCCCATTTAGATATTCGATGATCCAGAAAGTTCTCACCAGTATTTTCTCATTTGATATTTGCAACAACATAGCTGCATCTTTGTTTGTTTGTTTTACTTCCCAATCCTGAGGACAGGTAACTGCCTTGCCCCCTGGCTCCTCGTGGGAAATTTTGAGGGAGATGAAGTGTAAATTAAGTGTCAAGTCATTTCGTTCATACTGAAATACAGGTAACTTCTTTGTGAAGCCACAGTCCATCTGCCCGATAATAATGGTTAAGTGCTTTGTTTAGATGGTAAATAAGATCAAGCTACCCATGTTCAACCAACTATTTTATTTTTTTCATCCTCACCCCAGGAGTGAGGATATTTTTAAAAATATATTTTTATTGACTTCAGAGAGGAAGGGAGAGGGAAGGAGAGATAGAAACATAAATAATGAGAGAGAATCATTAATTGGCTGCCTCCTGCATGCCCCACACTGGGAATCGAGCCTGCAACCCGAGCATATGCCCTGACCTGGGAACCAAACCGTGACTTCCTGGTTCATAGGTTGACACTCAACCTGGTTCATAGGTTGACGCTCAACCACTGAGCCATGCCAAACAGACTCAACCAACTCTTTAATGATAGTCTTCTGTGGGGCCCTCACTGTAACCAATCTTTGTGATCAAATGTTCCTCTGTCCCTACATGGTTCATAATACATTCCCAGACATCATTTTGGTTCTTAGTCACAAAAGAAGGCAGTTCCATTATGGCTCAAGTTTCATGAAAGTTTTCACTCGAAAGGCCTTTGGCATCAATCTTATATGCCAGATCGTACACCCAGCTTCACATTAAAGTGACCTGGGTGCTTTTTAAAAATATTGATGCCACCACCTTAGAGAAACGTTTTATTGGCCTGGGTGGGGCCAAGAGATCCTTTTTAAAAGCTCTACTATCAGGCCCCACCTCCTTGTTCAAAGTGGTACCCAGAGACAGAAATGGAAAGCCCTTTCCCATAGTGATGATGGTAAGATGGTTACCATTCATTGTGCATTCAGTGTAGCAAGATTCCAAGCACATAAGCCTGGAGCAAAACTACCACTTGCCTTTTCACCTAGGGCCCATTAAGTCTGTTTCTTCATCTGAAATGGGAAAAACAGCCTACTTTCCTCACGGGGTTGTAAGATTTAAATAAAACAATGCAGGTGAGGTGCTTACTGCAATGCTTAGCAGATACTCAGCCTACTATTGTTATCTATTATCATTCATTCAAAACAGTCATTAAAAACTCACTGAGTGAGTATATTATGGTACACAAACAACACTGTTCACTGTCAGTCGTGAAATCAAGACAAGCAGAAACTACAGTATGTGCAGTAAGTGCTGTGGTGATCGGACTGCTGGAGGGGATCAAGGAAAGCTTCCTGGAGAAGTGAAGGCCCAGAGCGGAGCCTGGAAAGGCGGTTGGTGACAGCAGTTACACACCTGGGCGGAGCACAGTCTTATAAGAAACAAAGCCGGAATTTGCCGAGGAAAGTAGTTCCAATGTTTCTTTTTGAGCACATTTTGATCTCTTTCTCCAAGTCCTATCATTGCATATTTTGTTTCATTTATTCTTAAACCATTACAAAAAAAAAAAAAAACAAAAAAAAAAAACAACGCTTGGCAATGAGGAATTGTTGCTAACCCACTGGAATGCCTGCTGTGTGCGAGGTACTGTAGCAGCCGGAGAGATATACATGATACCCATTAAATTTAGAACACAGGCAACACATTATGTCACCAAGAACATCAGCTATTTGTAAAAATATCATTGATAGCTCCAGACTTTATAGACACCCTAGAGAGAGAGAGAGAGAAGGCAAAGTCCCTGCCACCAGTAATTCCTATCAGATTGAGGAGACAAATTTGCAATAACAACTCACACAAAGTCTATGTTAAAGGCTAGATGAGAGGTAAGTCCAGAAGCCCCTGGAGAGGTTCAGAGGACAAGCTTGCTGGGAGCCTGGGCAGGTGGAACGGGCTTCATTGAGGAAGCAGACCTCACCCTGGGCCTTAGAAGGAAAAGAGTTATTAAGTCAGAACCAGAGAAGTCAATCAGGGCACAGCACCAAGAACAAAGGCAGAAAGCAGGGATTTGCAAAGTGTTCTGGAGAAAGTGAACAATTTTTTATTACATTACCCCCCACCCTCTAGAATTGACTCATTTAACTCACATTTGGCTGGAAATATGAATTATAGAGATGAAAGGTGGAAAATGAGATAGACTCAGTGTGATTGGAGCTGGTCAGGGAGGAAAGTGGAGTGTATTTAATTATGTAGAAACGGGGGATCTATTAAGGTGCATGTATAAAGCAGTAGTGTGTGAGATTAATCTGGTGAAATTGTTTTGGGTAAATTAGAGGGAACAGAAATTGGACAGAACAGCTCAGAGAGTGTTACAGATCTGAAGGAGGGTCTAGTAGGAGTTAGAGCAATAGGAATTGAGAGGGTGAGATTAAAATATATTGACAAGATTTGGGAACTATGATTTGAGCATCGACAATGGGAGGAAAGGCTAGATGTCGAGTTTATGTAAGAGAAGAATTCAAACACAGGCAATTTTGGAACGGGAGCTGGTTTGGACATGATGAATTAATGGCAGGATGATTCAATGATAGAAATGGCAGAGACCATTGAGAACGTATAGGTAGATGTCAGGACTGAGGTCAGGGGTATGTATTCTGGATCTAGGGGTCAAGCTGGATAGAGATAACATTAGGTAATAGCTGTGAGAGATAAAGGTTGTGGCCTACAATTTTGGAAGGAGGATGGTTATGGGGTGGTTTGAGAAAGGGGAGGAATTTTAAGTAGAGAAGAAAAATGACTAACCGCAGAGAAGTTAGAAAAACCAGGCCAGTGGTGTAAGCCAAGAGGAAGACGATAGAGTGAAGAAAATCTAGGGAGATGACAGATTAAAAATTATTAAATTTGATTTCATGCCCTGGAAAGTTTCCCTAGACATGAAAGACTACAGTAGGTTAAACAAAGATAATAAGACAATAATGGCACCAGAGTCCACATACTTATTAGCTTTGGTGAACAAAATTATGACAATAGATTCAGGAGAGTTGGAAGTCCGGGGAAGTAATTTTTCAGAATCAATAGAGTCCTGAATGTGTTTGTTGAGGTAGAATCCCTGGATGGAGAGGGCTTTGGGAGTAAGGAGAAGAAAAGGATGAGGTTTCAAAGAAGGCAGGAGGGGAGCAGATGGCTTTAGGAGTTCCAGCTTCTCTCCCTGGAAAGGGGAACTGCGATGAATGGGAGAGATTTTGAGATGGAGGTGGGAGCTCAAGACAGATGGCTTCCGTGTTCTAAGTAAAGTACAACACACAGTACAACGTGATGGTGTGTGACATTTAACAGATGTCACCCATTCCTCCATTTTCATGTACCAGTCCTTGTTACAGAGGCCGCATTAAATTTGGAAGTTATACAGAGCCTAAGGGCAGGATTTTGGTGTGTTTCTGTGTATCTGGTGACAGATTAAAACAAATTAGCAAAAGAATGGGAGGAGGGAGACGCACACACCCAAAACCAAAACACGAACGCAGAAAAATAAACACTAAATCTTAATTTGCGGTGGGGGTCAGAGAGAGTACTCGCAGTTTACTTAAGTAGGTAGTAAATCAGAAGGTTGAAAATCAATCACCTCCCTTCCCCAAGGTTCTTCCAGAGTTCAACTCTCTAAATTCAGCTAAGAGACTCTTTCTGATGTTCGCAGCATTTTACACTCCCATGACTTAATGTAGTAAAAAATAACCTTTGCTTGGGCCCACGCTGAGGTTTAAAACTACCTTAACTTCCCCTCCCCCAAACCTGGTGCTTTATTTTTATTAGAAGTCTGACGACAAGAGTGATTTGAATGTGATCAGTTTGCCTAATCCACTGTAGAAATGGCACTATGGGGAAATCCCTAAGTACACCGAGGTGAAGTGTCCTTTAATCAAATCCTCTACTTAGCCAGTGAGCCAGTAAACCAAATACAAGCAGTCCAATCCTGGGCTCAGAGTGGCAGGTTTTTCATTAAAAGGACGGTGGGGATTGTCACTTTAGCAAGAAATCCAACACTTCTCAGGCACCCTTGGGCGTCCTGTAGATTCTGCTAAAGTCCTTGAGAGGGTTTTATGCTGCTGGGAGCTTGCTGGCTATGTTCAACCAACCCAAGCTGTGGGAGTGCATTTCTGTGTAGCTAAACGGAACGGGTCGCTGCTCAGTTTTGTTCCTTATGTTTCCATTTTTGCAGGACCTATTTTCCCCCTCAGCATTTTCTTGCTATCCTGGACTTGTCTTCTGTTGGAGCAGAAATTGGTATCTCCTCAAGCTAATAATCTGTTTCTTTAAAAAGAAAGAAAGAAACTGTTGCATGTTGCCTTTTTCCTGGTCTTCCTGAGCAAGCTGGACGGAAGTCACAAGGTAGCTACTAATGGGAATAAGAAAAGTCACATCACTGGACACAAGCTTCAGTAACTTGCATGACCTGGGGCTCTCTCCAGACTCACAGGCCTGGTGAAAAGATTGGTCAGCAGCCATGGCGTCCTGAAAAGCAGATCCAGACCGGATCCCAGCGAAGGAATCCCGCCTGTGTACTTCGGCTCTCCACGTGGCATCATCCTCTTTCTGCCCTGTCACCATGAACTTCAAAACTGACCTGGCTGCTTCAAAGTTCATAGTGGAACGGGGCGTCCCGAAGTCCTCGTCTCACCTGGGCTGATCTGCTTTTCCTCAGTCCCAGGTCCTAGAGTTTCAGGTCCTAGAGCCACTAAAAGTCGCCGACCCCACTCCAGGGGTGGGCTGCGGGGGCCAGGAGCTCGGGGACAGGTGAAGCTGTTCTTGCAGCCCAGACCCTGTGATCTCCTTGTGAGCAGCTGCCACGCCACACCTGCCCGCGAGGGGGCGCGCCGGGCCCCAGGCCTCCCCTGCTCGCCTGCGCTCGCACCTCCCTCCGCCGCCGCGCGCTCACCTGTCTGGACTGCCGGCCCGGAGGCGGGGGCCGGCGGGAGCGGAGCCGAGGAAGAGGGCGGAGCGGCTCTCGGACGCGTCATCCGAGCACCATGGCGGAGCTGGGAGCTGGCGGCGACGGCCCCCGGGGCGGCGATGGCGCTGCGCGGAGCGAAACAGGTGACTGCGCGGCCGGGCGGGAGGGCGGGTGGGGGCCGGCGGGCGCGGCGGGGGCCAGCGCACCGGCCGTTGGGCACGCGCGGGGCGCGGGGCGCGGGCGATCCCCTCTTCCCCCTGCGCGGGGCCGTGGCGGGGAACGGCCGCCCCGATCGATCTCTGCGTCCCGGGATCGGGATCGGAGCCTCCGCACGGGCCCTCCGCCCTCCGCCGCCGCCCGGAGGTGCCCGAGCGCCGTGCCCGGAGCCGCGGGCCTGGTCCCGGGGGCCCCCGGGGCGCTTCCCCGCGACTTTCCCACAACAGGTGGAAGCGCGCCAGGGAGCGCGGGCGGGCGGGAGGAGGAAATGGAGAAACGGTGGCTGCTCCCCTCCCACCTGCCGAGTTGAATGGGGGAAATCGTACACCCCGAACCAAACGGCCAGCCGGAAAGTCCTCGGCCCGCTGCGACGGGCAGGCTCCTCCGTCCCCGGGCACCCCCTCCCTGCCGCGCTCCCCCCGAGCCCGGCTCACACTCGGCTCCCCGGGGACCATGCTGGTGTGAAGGGCGCGGGGGCATGCGGCGTGCTGTGCCCGATCCCCGCCCCGGTGTCTGTCCGCAGGTCCCACCCGCGTCCCACAAAGACTGGGGTCGCCGGGGCGGGGGGTGGGGGCGCAGGGGCTGGTGGCTGGGCGGCGGGGACCAGAGAATGGGGCTCGATGTGCTCAGACTGGACTTGAAAGGGTCCTCTGAGCTCCTGTTCCAAGTCCATACACCAGCCCTGGGTGAGAAGCGGGGATCGGCGCAGAGGGCTCCGTGTTGGGGACCGCCCCCAATCCTTACGCACCTCCCCCCCCCCCCCCCCTCCCCGCAACCTGCACAGCACACTCGGGGACCCGCGCTCACATCTCCCCCGCACCCCACATCTTCTATGTGGGCGATTTTTGCGCTCCTGATCGGTTGTTTTGGAGGCACTGCCTTGCACACGCGCCCCCTCTTTCTTAGTCTCCTCTTCTTTTTTTCTATTCTATTTATTCTTGGCCGGTCAACTCTGGTACCTTCCTACCCTGGAAATGGGGGCGGTGAGGCAGGTTCTTATTTTTTAAAAGAAATTCAGATTGCAATGCGTTTGCTGCTTTGCATACATATATAATCGGAAACAAGTGTTTCCTAAATGTAAGACTCACCCTCCCCACACACCCCACCAAAATGTGTTATTGATTTAGATGCCATGCTTCTTTTCATGTGAAAGGCCCAGAAAAGCTATCACAGTGTTTGCAACATATGTATCTGCTCTGATAGGGACACCTAAAGCCTAATACCTTAATCCCTCCTGCCGAAATACCCGCGGTTTAGTCAGACAAGGTGTCTTGAGCTTGTTTACTTTGAAGTCACGCTCTTTCCAGGAGAGTGGTTTGAAAGATTTGTAGATCATTGTTTTGGTTCGGGTGGGGAAAGGGTGGCTCAATGGAGATGCTTTAGTAATTGCTTTTCAGAACTTGATGAACTGGGTGCCCTGGGTGAGACTCACCCAGGTGAGGGCAACCGGAGGGCAGCGTCCGCACTGTGAACGTGCATGGTGCTTCTGAAACAAAATTGTTCAGGTTAGTCAGTACACGCCAATTTTGCTAAACAAACAACAAAATACGTTTTAGAATTTGTCCATGAGCAACTTGTTCATATATAAGTGAACTGCAAAATAGCCTATTGAATGCCTGGGCAGGTTAACTAATGAACCAAGGTTTCTAACAATTAACATACAATTCAGCCATGTGGATGTCAGTGAAATATTTTTCTTCACAGAAAACAGTTGTTTCATATCTTTGCCTAGATACTTCAAGTTCCAAGGGACAATTTTTACATGGCCTTTGGAATAATTGTACTTTATAATTTAACTAAAACCTATTTCTGGCCCACATCTTTCTGTTGTGTGTTTTGTTGTTTTTTTTCCTAGCACTTGATTACTATTATATTAATGTTTTTAGTGTTCAGAAGCACCTGTGTGAGCAGGGGCCAAAGAAAGAGGAAAAGAGAAAATTTATTTTTTAAAATTCAGATAGTAATATTTTGATGGAATAAGTACAGATTGCCTGGATTTTAACAACATAAGTTTTCTATATATTTAAAACATGTGACTTGTATACATAGGACTTATTCTTAGGGACATGTTTCACATACACATCCAAATGCTGCAAGTCTTTTTTTGCAAGTCTTTTTTTTTTTTTTTTTTTTTTTTTTTTTTAACAATCTCAGGTTTGTGTATAGAGGTGGTTTTTTTTTTTTTTTTTTTTTTCCAGGAATGCAACATTTGTTGAGAGATCTATTTTATTCTCTTTTTAGATGTAGTGATTATCAAGTAGAGTCCATTCCTAAATGTCTTAGTTTTAGTGTCCCTGTGCAAAGACTGTGGTTTAACTTCAGAGCAATTTATATTAGAATCCCAGATAATTATTAAAATAACACCCACAATGTGTTCATAATTGCATACATATGTATGTGTGTATATCAAAGATGAGTTGAACATTAGTGGTATACTGCCTATAAAACAAGATATTTGTTAAGAATATTCAAAGATATTATATAAATCTAACATTTTAAATACCATATATCCTTCAGCATATATTTATCTCCTCCTCAAAGGTAGTCAAATAACATGCCTTGTGGTGAATTGTTTCTTTTTCAAGTATGAACAGTTCTTTCACGTATATTTTTCTATAGCCAAAGGTAATAAATGAAAACTGAAAAAAATACTTGTCTTGGAAATTAGTTTCCATTTCACCACTAGAGGACGTCAAATCCTGTTCAGGTTATTACTTTGAATAGTTCCAGTGATTGATATTCACAAAACTGCCTCTGCCCAAGCTCTGGATATTTAATTTTATGCTCGTGCCCAATAACAGTGGAAAGGGAGTGCTAATTCGATAATGTAATTTTTATAAAGGATACTGATTGAGACCAAATTCTAAGCTGCCTTTGACTAATTCATGAGATTAATATTCATACACAGGAAATAGTTAATACCTGTAATCTGTGCATTTTGTTGCTTTTCCTTTGGGGAAATGACTTAATACCTGGAATTGGGCTTTTTCTCATTTTAGCAAGACGTGTGGTAGAAAAACATGGGTTTTCTTTATGACCTTGTTCATGACCTTTCACTGCATTTTTCCAAATTAAAAAGTGATCGTTAAGGTCCACTTGGCTCTAAGCGTCTACAAATATCTACAAATAAAAATTGTAAAGGGCTCAGACTACAACTTAGTCTTAAACTTGTCCCTCTTGAAATTCAGGTCCCAAAGCTAGTAATGCTTCACTGAGGTGCCTCAGTGACCTTTTCCCATTGTTTTGTGGCTAGCACTTACCTTTATATCTTGCTTTTCACCTGTCAGATGAAACACAAGGTGGTTACATGCTCCCTGGGAGGCGCTTAGATTGTGTTGTGATTGAGTTGGACACCCAGGCCAACCCATCTTGACTTATTTTTCTTGGTATGTCTATGGTGCTCGTGTGTTTTTTTGTTTTGTATTGCTTTACCATAGATCCAAGTTTTAAGTTGTGTCCTAAAATATTATTGCTATGGAATTATTACACTTTAAATCATTGGGGTATACTTTCATTCTCTTTAAACTGCAAAGATGGGTGTCCCAAACCTATTTGACTTTAAACCAGTCACTATCCCTTCATTGAATATGTTTCTTTTAAGGAAAATAGAGGAAGCGTATACAGCTTGCATCTGCACAACTTTCTTCAAAGGACATAAGCGAAAAAGAAAGTATCATAAGCCATCTTATTTGTTAGTCACCGATTTTAGAAGACTTTCTTAAATTTCAGGGGCTCATTTACAAGACCTATCGTGTGTGGGCGTGTGGTGGGTGAGAGACTTTTCTTCCTAAGAAAATAATGTCCAGTTCAATTTTTAATTTAGATTTTTAATGTTTTTAAAGTTTAATAACATTAAATCTTAAAATATGTTTTTATATATTTTATATATAAAATCCAGGTGGGTTGTGGATTTAGATGCTCTGAGTAATGCCCTCCGATTTTCCTTATATAGTAGACACTGTGGTAATTGATTAATCAAATATACCTTAGGCTGTCCTTAAAATATTAAAATTATATCATTCTTCAGTAAAGTTTTATTTTTAAGAACAAGGTAATATTATTATATATTAACACACTTGACACTAGAATAAACCCAGAAATTTATTTTGCAACAATGGCTTTCTACCTCTTCCCTGTGAAGATGCTCTTTTATATATACAAAGATATATCTACACTGAGTGGCCAGATTATTATGATCTCTGAATGCATAATAATCTGACCACTCAGTGTGTATACTATATAATAAAAGACTAATATGCAAATTGTCCCCTCAACCAGGAGTTCGACAATCAGGCAGGCCAGCCAACAGCCCATGTCCCCTCCCCCTGGCCAGGCTGGCTGGACCCCACCCATACACAAATTCATGCACTGGGATATATATACATATATATATATATACATATATATATATATATATATATATATATATATATATATATGAAATTCGTGCACAGGGGTGTGTGTCCCTCAGCCCAGCCTGCACCCTCTCCAATCTGGAACCGCTCGAGGGAGATCTGACTCCCCATTTAGGTCCTATCGGGACTGGGCCTAAATGGGCAGTTGGACATCCCTCTCACAATCCAGGATTGCTGGCTCCCAACTGCTTGCCTACCTGCCTTCCTGATTGCCCCTAATCAATTCTGGCTGCCAGCCTGATAACCCCCTAACCATTCCCCTGCCAGCTTAATTGATACCTAACTGCTCCTCTGCCAGCTTGTTTGCCCCTAACTGCCCTCCCCTGCAGCCTTGGTCCCCCCCAACTACTCTCCCCTGCAGGCCTGGGTCCCCCACAACTGCCTTTTCCTGCAGGCCTGGTTGCCCCCAACTTCCTTCCTCTGCCAGCCTGGACATCCCTAATTGCCCTCCCCTGCATGCTTGATTGCCCCCAACTGCCCTCCCTTACAGACCTGGTCCTCCCAACTGCCCT